GGTGGAAGCGACAGGACCTGGCAACCAACAGGATGCAGGGGAAAAAGGAGGGGAAGGAGTTGAAGAGAATTCCCCGGTTTCAAGGAATATCTGAAAATATAGGAGGGACGAAGATCCACTATCACTCTGTCTCTACCTCTCCAGAGACGGTGGGCACCTACCCTTAGACAGGACTTCTTTTTAAACACACAGATGCCATTTTCTCTGACTAGACAGATTACCTTTGGGGGCAGAGGCCACCACAAGCTCTGGCTTTCCATTAGGTTTCAGGACTGACAGGGCTGTGGGAGGGGCTGTGGAATCACACAGTTGGCCTCCAGGGCAGACCTACAGCCACCGAGGCATCCATGGACTTTGTGATCGGGAGCAAGTCACAGCTAAATGTTGGTCCACAGGTCCACCTTTCTGGGCCTTGGCGTCCTCTTAGGGAATATGGAGGCGACTACGTACATCTTATGGCCCAGCCTCTGGTGTAGTCAGTAGCACACCAGACCGCGGAGCTGGAAGTCACATGCCAACCACAGTTTGAGTCTCCAGCCTGGTTGGTCTGAAAACATGCTGAGCACAGTGTCCAGGAGCCTGTCAGGCTGGAGTACTGGAGGGAGGGATCTTGGCATGACCAAACCCTATGGAGGGTGTTTCTGTCCCACCCTCCCTCCCTCTCTTGTGCATGCACATGTACTCTACCATGGGAGAAAAAAACCCCTACACATCGTGCCCTCCAGTCTCAGTTTTGACATGGCTTTGCCAGAGTGGCCTTCAGGCCCGAGTCACTCATGTGCTCCCAGAACACTTTGTGCTTTTCCTTCACGGTAACAGCCAAAACTTAGGTCGTGTTAACCACAGGTCAGGTATGGTTCTAAGTGCTACCCTCTCATCAACACAATGTATTCCCCCAACCACCTTTAGGGAGGTTATCATTAGTATTTGCATTTTAGAGGCAGGGATACTGGGGCAGAGAGAGGCTAAGCACTTCAATCAAAATCAAGGTAGATCTGGGCTTATCTCATTTCAGCTAGGCTGGCTCTGAAGCCCACAGTCCCACACAAGATGTTATGCCTATGCTGTACCTAATTAGTCATTTACGTAAATATTTCTTTAAAGTCTACTGGGGCTCCAGGCAAGATTGCTTTTTATGAGGGCAGAGCCTGGCACTGAACAGATGAATGCTCAGTGCATACTTGGGAATGGCTGCTGGCTGGTAATGGAGGCTCCCAGAGTGGGGTGTCCTCAACACCCACACTTCCTCACGGGCCCCAGAAAGACAGAGATGCTGTTGCTGTCTCTATCCATGGCAACTGCTGCCCACCATCCCGGTACCTTATTACACAGCCAGTCCTCATTGATCTTGGGTTTGGGGTCGCTGTAGTGCATGGACACCTTCTGGCCCAGGATGTTGAGGGAGTGCTGCGGGGAAAAGCAGAGCACAGTGAGGCCCAGGCAGCAGTGCCCCACGCACCGTTTCAGCACAGGAGAAGAGAGTGAGCGAGCCCTTCAGCTGGATGGATGAGGGACAGGGAACAGGGAGGCCGGAGAATGGTCGAGGGAAGAAGGAGGTGGGAGAGGAGGTGGGGAGGAAGGGAAGGAAAGCGCCACAGCTCTTGGGCACAGCTGTTTGCTGCTTTTCCGGGCGCGCACACACGCACGCACGCACGTACGTGCACACACACCACCAGGCACACAGTGTTCAGCTGACCAACGCTTGCCGGACATGGGGAGGACCCCCCACTCGGCCCTGACACTGCCAGGCCACACCCGGGGCCAGCACTACACAGGCTAGGCTTGTAGGGGGAGGGGAGATAGGGAAGGGAGGGAGAGGAGGGGAGAGAAAGAGAGAGAGCGCACACGTGCGCTAGTGCTGGAGAAGGGGAAAAAGAGAGAGCCATAATAACAGACGGAAGTCCCCGCCATGAGGCTGTCTTCCCATGGATGGCAGGGTCCTGGGCCCATCGCACTAACCTAGTGACCCCACAGAGACAGCCCCAGGGCTGCCTCTGCTGGGCCCTCTCATTTCACCACATCGGCCCCTTCCTCCCCCAAAGCTTTTCTTCGATGCCCTATACCAGTGACCCGGGCTGGGGAAGAGTAAACAGAACAGATCCTTGGGTCTCGGCAGCTCCCCAAGCTGCTGGGCTGGGATCCTGGGCCAGGATAGGGGAGCAGGCTCCCTCCATTCCTGACTGCATATGGCTCCTTGCTGGGAAGATGGAGCAGCCTGCGGTGGTGCCTCCACCTGCCTGCAGTGGTACCTCCTGTGGCTGAGGAGGCGTACCGGGAAGGGGAGGGTAGGCGCGAAGGAAGTGAGTCCACGAAACTATCATACTTGACTGAAACTTTAGATCAACAGAGCAGCACGGTCTCCTTGCAGGGAAATCAAAGGGTCAAACGGACATGCAGGGAGAAGGCTGACAAAACGAGTCTTGCTACTTAGTGTGCCAGCAGCTAAGTTCCCCAGTGGTGGGATTGCCAGTGGTCCTGAGAGTGGAACCAAGTCCTGGCTCTGGCTAATCCCAGAGCAGGGCGGCCCCCTGAGACCCACTCCACCCGCCCCTCCCCGGGGAGCAGGAAGTTCATTCAAAGAGCCCACTCCGGTAGCTCCTTCTCTGAAAGCTCAGCTGGGAGAGGTAGAGGGGCAGTGCTAGTACCTGGCGGTAGGAGGGGCTAGCGGTGAGTGTGGACTCTGGATGGGAAGCCCAGTGGGTAGCGAGAGATGGGAAGAGGAGATAGTGAGGGTCAGGAAGGGGGAGAGAAGGGGCAGGGTATGGGACACAGGGCCACAGGGCAGGGAACTGTGTCCATAAGAATCAGGCGATGGGGAGCGCTCGATTACAAAGTAGTATTTGTTTGGGGGGGGGTTCAAGTGCGGCAAAGCAACCTGATTGGCTTCCATCCATCGTGTAGCGTCCTGCAAGTGACTAAACTCGACGAAGGCGAAGCCCCGGCTCTGACCTGGAGACAGCATTCAGATACAGACGCAGTGGGTTAGTCAACAGCTTTGGACACACGCGTTCCCGGGGGCAGGACCCGAGGGGAGAGGACGGGGCAGAGAGGGAAAGGGGAGAGGAGAAAGGAAGAAAGGGAGAGAAAGGAGCGATCAGAGAGAAAGGCTAGGGGTTGTGGAAGGCAACACAGATGGCTGGGAGGTGGGCAGGAGATAGGGAAGGGGAAGGGAGGAAAACTGAGTTGGAGAGGTGGGGCCAGGGAGAGAGAGACACACACCAACAGGGGAGAAAGACAGAGATGGTGCTCAGGCAGACCTGCCTGGCCAGCCTGAGGTGACAGAGACAGAGAAGCAGCAGGGAGAGAAAGGACACAGTAGAGATCTGTCTCCAGTGGAGGAGGGGAGGGAGGGAAGAAGGAAGGGGAGGGAGGTGGCCAGATTGAAGAAGTCAAGGGCAGACCGAGCATAAGGCTGGGGTGCCCAGGAGGGGTACTGTAACAGGTGTCAAATCAAAGGAACAAAAGAGAAGCCAGGCCAGGCTGCTCTGTGAGGCTAGAAAGGCTCCTGGCCCATTACAACCAGGGGTGGTGTGGGATATAGGCTTGTCTTGGCCTCACCACAGTACAGGGGTGGTGGGCCTCACAAGGAGCCAGAGTGGGCAGACTACAGTTGCACACAGTCCAAGTCCTCCTGGACAGAAGAATGGTGGCCAGGACTGGCTAGGAGGACCAGAGAGGTAAGAACCAGTGGGTACCTGGGAAAGGTGCCCAGGGCCATTGAGAGGGCTGCACCTGGACACCTTCTTAGGGAGAGAGAGACCCAGAATCTGTCGGTGTGGGATCTAGTTGGGCTGAAGCAGAGCAAGACTTATGCAGAACCAAGAGAGATCCCAGGCCTGGCCCGGGATGGGAAAGGGATTCAGGGCTTGAGGCCTCAGGAAAGCATCTCCTTCAGAAGGAGATATACAGGGAGGGCTCAGATGTGATGGGGCTTGGGAGCACACCTGGTCTCCAAAAGAATAACTATTAGGATACATGAGAAGATGGAATGGTATGATGAAAGAGAGAGAGCCAGAGCGAGAGAGAGAGAGACACAAATAGATACACAGAGAAATGGAGATGTGGGGAGAAGAGACTGAGAGATGGAGAGAGAAGCCCAGGCAGAGTGAGGCCCCACTGTGCCTGCCTTGGGGAGCCTGGGTAGAGGTCCTGCAGAGACAATTCCCCCCACCACCACCCTGCTAACCTCAGGCCAGCTCCAAGCAGCCTACAAGAGGGAGGGAGGGAACAGACAAGGCCAGAAAGTCCTGGCTGCTCCTTGGGACATGCCCTTGGATAAGAGCCATCACCTGCCTCCTCTCTTGGGATACATGGATGAGGCCATGCCAGACTTACTTTCTGGTCAGAGGCTATTGCCAGAAAAATGTGGGGGAGAGAAAAGGGCAGAGGAAGGAGAAGAAAAGAGAGGGAAGGGAGTGTATGGGAGGTTACCAGCTTAGATCTTCAGAGTCCCAAAGAGAAGGTTCCCAGAGCCTGGCCCTGGCCCTGGCCCTGCCCCAGGGGAGCACTCAGCTCTGCTCAGAGCTGTACCCCCTCCCCAGCAGCCCCCGGGAGAGACTGTTGGCTGGAGCCATGAAGAGAGCAGAGGGGAGGAGGAGAGAAAAGGGGCTACCCCCAAATTGCCCATTCCCAGCTGTGGCAAGAAGGTGGGGTAGGGAGGGTGAGGGAGAAGGCAGAGGCAGGAGGGAGATTCGGAGACTGAGGCCGGCCAGTGGAAGGGGAGGACACTGGGAACAAAAGCTCACCTGAGGATTTGTTCCGCATTAGCCGGACCTCCCGTGCTTGGACGCCGTGGGACTGCAGCTGGCCGCGGATCTGTACGAGGAGATACAGAGCAGGGCAGGCTAAGCACAAGGGGACTGCTGGGTAGCTGAGACTAGCTGGAGGCCTCTGGACCCCAAGGGTCATCGGCAATGTGCACACACTCTCCTCCACCCCTCTCAGGGCTGTTCCCCAAGGGACAATGGTCCCAGACCCACACCAGTACCCAGTCTTGGCTTTCAGCCCCAGACTTGCAGAAAATGAGTCAAATGAAGAAAGGAGCACAGTGCAAGGTAAAGGATGGCAGCGAGAGGCCCCTCAGGGGCACAGAGAACAGTGAGGGAGCAAGCGAGCCAGCCACTCAAGAATGGGGGGGGGGAGGGCAGGAGCATCTACCAAGGGGCATGGAGGCAGCCACAAAGCAAGGAAAGCTAGGTGCAATTCTTGCCCTCTGCGAGGAAATTACCCAGCCCCCTGCCAGTTTGCGTCAGAAGAGACCCTGATGCAAATCCCAAACTGGCAAGGACAGGAGTCTGAGCAAATCCCAGTCAAGTGCCCTAGACCATGGGTGTATAGAGTAACTTAGGGCAGAGACGACAAGACAGAGTTGTGGGGTTTGGAAAGCTTCCTGGATCAAGTAAGGCAGAGGAAAGCTGCAGGGGCGATGTGGGATCTGGAGCAGGTGAAGCTGACTCTCTAGGACGGTGGAGCCTTCTGGGGCAGGAAGGGTTGGGGCCTCTGCTAGGCATTCTCCAGAAGGTGTCTTTATGCCTCTGGGCCTCAGCTCCTTGACAGGTTAAAGAATGACCAGGAGATTAGCCTCATACACACCAGGATGTAAAGGAAAGACACATAAGAGCTTCTTAGGACTCCAAACACTCAGGAGGGCTCAGGAAACAGCAAGAAAAAGTGGGCTTGGGGTTGGGCTGCCCATGGTCAGACTCCATCTCTGCTTGGCCCCTCACTGACTGTGGGACCTGGGTGAGTCACTTCACTGCTGGAGGACTGGTTTCTCATCCATAGGAAGAAATACAAAGAGTACCTTCCCTGCAGGGCCACCGTGAAGATTAAATCAGACCTGGCATGTGGCCCACCCTGTGATAACTCAACAATGTCAGCAGCCAGCTACCGTCTGACCCTGAGCAGAGCAGGCAGGCCAGGCTGGAGAGGCCTTGACGCCACGGATGGGGTTTTCTCTGCTACAAAACAGGCAGTCGGCAAACTTCAGAGAAGAGCCGATTAGAGAATTTGCGGGGGGTGAAGGGAACTATTGTAAGAAGGACCAGAATCAGGGAGGCCAGTAAGGAGGCTGTCCTAGTGGCCCTCTTAGGATTTTAATGTGGCTCCTTTGAGAAGTCTGTGTGAGACAGAAACAGGAGGGTGGAAGGGAGAGAACATCACAAGGGGAAACAGGGTGAGGAGGCTGACAGCAGCTGGCTAAGGCTCGGTAGCCAGGCCAGTGATGAGTTGGATGCTGCTGCTGAAGGGGGGAGGTGTGGAATTGAGAAGGAAATTTCAGAAAATCCCATGCTCTCCCCCACCAAACGGTTGCAGGGTCCCAGCGTCATCTCTGCTACCAGCCACACCCAGAGCTGGGCCTGGTGAGTGGCTGCCCCTCTCTCCACAAATACAAAATAGATGGACAACCAATGGAATGTGCAGGAGGAATGTCCTCCCTCCCACACCCACCCACACAGCACACACCCATGGCTGCCTCCCCTTGGCCAAGCCCAGCCTATCTGACACTCCTCCCTTCCAGACTGGGAACAGATGGGGCCTGCCCACAGAGAACGGACTGATGCTGGGGGGAGTGGAGTCAGGGAGAGGGATAAAGGGTGCTGAGACTGGGTGTGAGGGAGGGGTGGGGAGAGCTTGAGGTCCCTGGAGGAGACCCAGCCTGGCCTCCTGCTCTGCGCCTGCCCGGGGCCACGGGGGGCACGTACGTCATCCTCAGTGGCTGCCTGTGGCAGCATCCTCAGCATGACGATGTTACTGGCCTTCTCCTCCTCCTCCTCATCCTCCTCCTCATCCTCCCCTTGCTCGGTCCGATAGTCCTGGTCTCGATAGTCGCCGTCTCGGG